TGAATAAAATTAAAAAATAAATATAAAGGAAAATTATCATTTATGAAGGTTGATAAAGTAGAAGCGGCTTTAAAGTTGCCACTAGGGTTGCACAAAACCGTTTAACTAAACGGTATACGGTAAATGGGTAAAATTAAACGGAACGGTATACGGGCTCAGATAAACGGCATAAACGGTATAAAGTTTTTTTCAAAATTAAACGGTTTTGTGCAACCCTAGATGTCACTATAAAAATTATTTTAAAAAATAGGGTTTATCGGTCTCACCAAATTTTTCGGTTACCGTATTTTCTCGATTAATTCCCCTGTAGAATTATTTTTTCAACCCTTCTTTAGCATGGGGAATTAATCGAGGGAGGGGAATTATTCGAGTCTTGGCATTTGAACGTTCAGTAGCGTATTCGGAGGTGGGGAATTATTGTTTCAACCCAACTCTAGCATGGGGAATTAATTGAGGGAGGGGAATTATTCAAGGGAGGGGAATCAATCGAGAAAATACGGTAAACTAAACCGAACTGAGAAACCAAACCGAAGCAGTAGCATAAGGAGGTATAAAGAGATTCGTGAGGATAAAGAAGGTTTTAAGAATTAGGAGAGATGTAGAGATAGATTTCCCCCTTTGGCATTTTGCTTTTTCCAAACCCAATGCTTATCAAATTATGGTTGCAGATCCGGAGCCAAAGCAGGATATAGATATATAGACTAGAGTACGTCCGAGTCGAGCGAGTTCGAGTTACTCGACACGACCGCTCGGGTTTTTGCTTAAGTATCGACTTGGAACTCAGACATAATACTCGGATTACTCCCTTAATATTGCTCTTAATCAACAGATATCACTCGATATCCCCCTCAATCAACTTAAACTCCCATAATACTTTATTCATTGATTTGCCACCCGGAGCCAACATGGAGAGGTTCCGAAAATCGCCGGCTCCGGAGCTCGGAGCCAACAAATCTTAATACATTTTTAAAATGAGGCTTGTCCCAGAATTAGTGCCAATGTGAAAATAGAAGTAGTTTGAAAATGACAGTCAAAAAATCTTATTTGAAAATTATTCTTTATTGACTACTAATGAATTTGAATGTGTTAAATTAAATAAAATCTGGGGATTATCAAGGAGTATAAATAAGAAAAAAATTATGGGCGGGTCTGAACTATGTAGTATGAAAAAAATTTTTTTAGAGAATTCAACATGGAGAAGGTCGATTAATCCCATTGTCTATTAAAATAAATTTTAAACCGGAAAGAAGGGAATGGAGAAAATGATTGAGAGATAGAGCGTGATAAATTGTTTATAAAAATTTTAAATTGATTTTAAAATTTTAAAAATTTTAGAGAGGAGAAGATAGAGCTACAAATTGAACGGAAAGATAAGCTAAAAATATTCAATACTAGTATCTTGTTAAATGCCACATCAGGTTTAATCAATTGAAAAATCTGTTAGAAATAGAAAATAAAAATCAGTAAAAATTTTTCTGAACCAGAATTAATTAAAACATTCTGGAAAAATAAACAAAATTAATTAAACACAAAAATCAGAATCTAATAAAAAAAGAAAAAAATCAGAACTAAATAAAACTTTCCGGAAAAATCAGAATTAAATAAAACTTTCCGGAAAAATCAGAATTTAATTAAAAACACAAAAATCAGAATTAAATAAAACACAAAAATCAGAATTATTTCATAAAACTTTCCGGAAAACAAATCAGAATTTAATTAAAAAACACAAAAATCAGAATTAATTAAAACACAAAAATCAGAATTTAATAAAAACACAAAAACCAGAATTTAATTTAAAAAATCAGAATTGCATATTTACTCCTTTTATAGTAAGTCGTTATAATAATAAAACAATTGGCGCTCAACCGTCCCAAAAATAAAATTAAAAACGTCACAGAACAGATTATAGAAAATAAAAGAGGGTAACGCTGAGTAAGTGAAAAAGACATAGAGAAATGTTCATGTCTACTGCTAGGCAACCAAAATTTTTGTTTTTAAAGCTAAAAAATGCAAAAATCGTTAATGATGACTAATTGGTATATTAATTTCTTTCAAAGTTTTGTAAAAAAAAGTTTATTTTATGCTGTCACATTTTAATTTTTTAAAATTTATTTTTGCTTAATATACATTTTTCTATTTTTATTTTATTTTAGATTTTGTTTTGGAAATTTTTTTATTGTGAAATATTCCAATTTTAATTGATGGCTGGACTTGAGGGAAATCCATTTGCTGATCCTTTCCAGGTTTTAGGGGCAATTTTAATTAAATTTTAAAATTCTCCCTGGGTGTTGTCGTTAAAGGAACACGCCCAAGTAGGCGCGCGGCCAAGTAGGCGCAAAGCCGTAACTTTCTGGAAAATTTCTGGCCCTTCCCGATTTTTGTAACATTCTCTTTAGCTCAATGAGAGGCATCGTTTAATACTAAATTTGGTAAGATTCGGGGATCTTGAAGCAAGTTATTACTTTGCGCCGTTATGGCCGCGCGCCTACCTGGGCTGTACCCGTCGTTAAATATTTTGCCTAAAAATTTATCCTCAAACTTTTTAGCAGACCAACAATTCGACTCCCACAAACACTGTCCCGCAACAACCAAGTGGTTATGGAGGAACTGCTCAAAGTATGCCGGCGAGACCGGTATATTTTTTATAAATTCTCTTGAATAAGGTGTTTAATTAAGCGTAAGAACAGCGCTAGAGTTCTAACATTTAGTGAAATTCTTTCAATCATGCATATTTTGTGTTTCGTTCAATTAGAATTTGATTTGAATCTCTTTTCTTGGAAAAATCTTAAAAGTCGTCGTATTATAATTTAATTACAATGAGGGCAACCGTGATAATTGTACATTGACATATACTATTTATATTATTCTCAGACTAAGACATAGATACGGATACAGATATTATAAAAATGACTGCGGATATCCGTCTGTATCCGCCGTAAATATCCGGATACGGATACCAAAATCAGTATCCGTGTCCTAGTCTGATTATTCATAATAACAATTAGAAATCGGTATTTTCAAAAATCCTGGATCTGGATTTAGGTTAGTAATCTGAACACTATTTTTGATTCTTCTAAAGTCTGTCCTTCATATTTGTTTCGGCCGCATTCGTGGACTACTTATTTTAGGTTTTTTACTCTCTGGATCTAGGGAAAATCCAGGACGATCAAAAATGCCTGGATCTTGACTCTGGATCTAGGAAAAATCCAGACTGGATCCAGACCGATCTCTAATAATAATGTATCTGACATTTTCTTTTTTATTCTATAAATATATTCTTGGAGCTTATTCTCTAAATTATTGTTAGGATAGCTAAGTTTCCTCCCCGTCTAGTTTTAAAAAAATTAAATTAATTTATTTGGTGGTTCGGATAACAACAAACTCTGCTTTGAATGGTCTGCCTTATGGACCTACTTCCCTTAATAACTATTTTCTGATTAACTATTTTCCGGATTCCCAGTTAAATTTTTATTAGAATTTTTCAAGAAAATTTTCTGTTAGTTCGATTAAACTTATTTTTGTTATTTCTTGATATTTTTGTAAAATAGGGTTTGACCCCGAATCCTGATAGCACGTTTTTCTGGGTGCGTTGGAGTATGACTGACATTAAATTGTGAGTGTTATCTGTCAGTCATCCTCCAACACACCCAGAAAAGCGTGCCCTCAGGAGCGTGCCCTCAGGATTCGGGGTCAAACCCTAGTGTAAAATTAGCCGGTATCGGGATCCCGATCGGCGGTTTTCCCGGTTTTTTGAATCCCTATCCAGATTTTATGCCGGAATCCCAATACCGGCCAACTCTATGATTAATGACTCAAAAATTATTTTCGATTTTTTTACTCTTCTATCCTCTCTTAACTCCTCTCTTGACTTTGGTTCCCTATTTTATAAATTCTTTCCTAACAAAAATACCCAACTCTTAAATTCCCTTTATAGAAACTATGCCAAGCTAAAAAAAGGGTAGAGATTCTATCGTTGTTTCCTTTTTCATTTTATTTTTTTTTCTATTTTCTTCTTTCCTCTCATTCAAGCTAGGCATTTATGGATTATTGTTGAAAGCCTCAAGAATTGCATAGTTTAACAATTTTGGCACTTGTTTTCTTTGCTTTTCTTAGGAATATTTTTTTATTCTCTTCGAAAATTAGGACCCTTAAAAATAACCTTCAAAAAATTTATTTTCAATCGAACCTCATTTTTAGGGCGGTACGACAATTGCGGATGACTATTGCGGATATAAAATTTATTAAAAATTAATCATTGTTTCAGTGCCTTATCAGTCTAAAAATGATTCAGAAACCGTCAAAAGTCTGAAACTGACAGCCGTGGCTAAAAAACGGGATATGATTTGAATCATTTTAAAAATTTTTCAAAAATTTTCAATCCGTAATTGTCAAATCCGGAATTGTCGTCCGCATTCGTCGAATCCGCATGTGCGTATCCTCAATTGTCGTAATATAATTTTTAGATATCAGCTAGGGGATAAAAAAATCATACCTCATACTAAAGTGTAGATTAGACAGGAGGGGGAAACGGGAAGGAAAAATGGGGTCTGTCAGGTTCAATATTACCTAGAAGCCTACGCAGCTCCCCATGCCCCATGGCAGAACAAATCTTAAAAAATCAGAACAAAAATCAAAACTTCTATTTATATGGCTGCGCCAAAACCTGTCAGCGCCTAGGGGAGCAGGCCAACGTACTGCGAGCCCAACGTACTGCAGAGCTATATCTTTTTTTAAAATAGTCGAAGCCGGGACGTCTTAGTATGGTTCTATGCATCTCGACAAGCTGAATCGAACCATATCAGGTCGTCCCGGATCTGACCTTTTTGAACAAAGTAGTTTGGCCTCGCGGTACGTTGGAGTGTACCCCAGCGCCTAAACATCCCACTCCAAATAAAAACATTTTAAATTAAAGGATACCTTATCGAGGTTATAATAATAATGAGATTTCTACTGATTTTTTAATTTTAGAATTTTAAAAAAATTTTGTAAATATTAAAAAAATGATTTTTGAGGCTCAAGCAACCGTACCGATCAGTGAAGAAGAATTGTTTCGCCAGCAAGAAGAGTTGCGCCGGCGTGAACAAGTTAATTAAAAATTTGAGAATTTTCTGAAAAAATTTTTTTCAAAGGAATTAATTCGACGCCAACAAGATTTGGACAACCGCGCACGTCAACAACAACGTGCGAGTAATGGGCAGAGACCGCCTCACAATTGGCCGCCTCTACCCAAAATTATACCGTTGGAGCCTTGTTTTTACCAGGATATTGATGTGGAGATTCCTGCACAGTTTCAAGTGAATATTTTTTAGTTGAAAATTCTGATTTTTGTGTTTTGTTTGTGTTTTGATGTTTTGTGTTTTGAATTAATTCTGATTTGTTTCCGGAAAGTTTTACTTAATTCTGATTTTTGTGTTTTTATTAAATTCTGATTTTTCCGTAAAGTTTTATTTAATTCTGATTTTTGTGTTTTAATTAATTCTGATTTGTTTTCCGGAAAGTTTTATTTCTGATTTTTGTGTTTTTATTAAATTCTGATTTGTTTTCCGGAAAGTTTTATTTCTGATTTTTGTGTTTTTATTAAATTCTGATTTTTGTGTTTTTTTATTCTGATTTTTCCGGAATTTTTATTTCTGATTTTTGTGTTTTTATTAAATTCTGATTTTTGTGTTTTTAATTAAATTCTGATATTTTCCGGAAAGTTTTATTTAATTCTGATTTTTGTGTTTTTATTAAATTCTGATTTTTCCGGAAAGTTTTATTTAATTCTGATTTTTGTGTTTTTATTAAATTCTGATTTTTCCGGAAAGTTTTATTTAATTCTGATTTTTGTGTTTTTATTAAATTCTGATTTTTCCGGAAAGTTTTATTTCTGGTTTTTGTGTTGTTAATTAAATTCTGATTTTTGTGTTCTGATTTGTTTTCCGGAAAGTTTTATTTCTGGTTTTTGTGTTGTTAATTAAATTCTGATTTTTGTGTTTTATTAAATTCTGATTTGTTTTCCGGAAAGTTTTATTTCTGATTTTTGTGTTGTTAATTAAATTCTGATTTTTGTGTTTTATTAAATTCTGATTTTTGTGTTATGATTTGTTTTCCGGAAAGTTTTATTTCTGGTTTTTGTGTTAATAATTAAATTCTGATTTTTGTGTTTTATTAAATTCTGATTTGTTTTCCGGAAAGTTTTATTTCTGATTTTTGTGTTGTTAATTAAATTCTGATTTTTGTGTTTTATTAAATTCTGATTTTTGTGTTATGATTTGTTTTCCGGAAAGTTTTATTTCTGGTTTTTGTGTTAATAATTAAATTCTGATTTTTGTGTTTTATTAAATTCTGATTTGTTTTCCGGAAAGTTTTATTTCTGATTTTTGTGTTGTTAATTAAATTCTGATTTTTGTGTTTTATTAAATTCTGATTTTTGTGTTATTAATTAAATTCTGATTTATTTCCGGAAAGTTTTATTTCTGATTTTTGTGTTGTTAATTAAATTCTGATTTTTGTGTTTTATTAAATTCTGATTTTTGTGTTTTAATTAAATTCAGATTTTTGTGTTTTTATTAAATTCAGATTTTTTTCCGGAAAGTTTTATTTCTGATTTTTGTCTTTATATTAAATTCTGATTTTTCCGGAAAGTTTTATTTAATTCTGATTTCTGTGTTTTTGATTAAATTCATATTTTTGTGTTCTGATTTGTTTTCCGGAAAGTTTTATTTCTGATTTTTGTTTTATTAATTAACTTCTGATTTTTGTGTTTTATTAAATTCTGATTTTCGTGTTTTAATTAATTCTGATTTTTGTGTTTTATTTAATTCTGATATGTTTTCCGGAATGTTTAATTAATTCTGATTTTGTGTTTTTATTAAATTCTGATGTATTTTTCCGGAATGTTTAATTAATTCTGATTTTGTGTTTTTATTAAATTCTGATGTATTTTTCCGGAATGTTTAATTAATTCTGATTTTGTGTTTTTATTAAATTCTGATGTATTTTTCCGGAATGTTTAATTAATTCTGATTTTGTGTTTTTATTAAATTCTGATGTATTTTTCCGGAATGTTTAATTAATTCTGATTTTGTGTTTTTATTAAATTCTGATGTATTTTTCCGGAATGTTTAATTAATTCTGATTTTGTGTTTTTATTAAATTCTGATGTATTTTTCCGGAATGTTTAATTAATTCTGATTTTGTGTTTTTATTAAATTCTGATGTATTTTTCCGGAATGTTTAATTAATTCTGATTTTGTGTTTTTATTAAATTCTGATGTATTTTTCCGGAATGTTTAATTAATTCTGATTTTGTTTCATCTAAATTATATTCTTTTTCTCTTCCAAATCAGGAGACTGTTCGTCTTGTCTACTATGTTTATCTAATTTATGTTCTTGCACTCTCTAGCAACGTTATGGGTGCCCTATTTTATTTTTTGTTTGCCGGTGGTGGTTTTGGCCTGATGTTTCTCTCAATTATTCAACTTATATTGTTTACTCCCTGTGCATTCCTTTTATGGTTCCGACCTGTTTACAAAGCTTTTCGGTAAATTTTTTAGGGAAAAAATATTTTTTATTATCATATTACGGTATTCTAATCTCGTTGTTAGAGACCCCTAGTCGTTAACAAGCATACTTTTTCACATGTGGATACGGTAGTATCTCTTAGGAAATTTCCACAACCTCTGACCTAACTACTTCTAAGCATAAAATCTGGGGTAGGCAATGGGTTAGGTTGTCTCTGACCAGCTGCTTAGAACATTTTCGGAAAGAAACACAAATCCCGAGTCTCCGTCATGGACCAGGATGATTTTCAGGGCATTTACTAAACACGTATACACCCGCTATTATACTGTTTGATAGAGCCCGGACGGAGGGCTCGGTCGATATTTTTTCGATAAATATCGAAAAAATATCGTGTCGAGCCGGGCTCTACTGTTTGATCATCAAAAAGGAAAAAACCTTTAGTGGCAATCTGTTAAAAATAAAATTAATTTTTATAAAATTAGAATTTAGCAGTCTATCCGTGGTTGGTAAATGGCCTAAAAATCATCCTTGGCCATGATGGGGACTCGGGGTAGATTACTAACCCTTGTAAAATTTTTAGTTTAGTTAAAAACGATGTCCAACTGTACTTTGTTCTCTCCTTTATAAGAGGGATACACCTCTCTCTTATCTCATAAAAAACTTTTTTGATAACCTAAATTTTCTTGGGTATATTTTATCAGCTCATCTAGCACTCGAATAATATTTTCAAAATTATTTTTAATTAATTAAAAATAAATAAAAAATAAAATTATTTTTTTAAATTTAAAGTGATGATTCTTCATTCAATTTTATGATGTTTTTCCTGGTCCTTTTCTTCCATACAATTTTCTGTCTAGTTCAGATGCTTGGACTTTCCTATGCCGTGTAAATTTAAAAATTTTGAAAATTCATTATTAAAATTTTTTAAATTTTCAGTGGGTGGACAAACACTATTGAAGCATTTAAGTAAATTAAATTAAAATTATTAGTCAGACCTCTATATAAGATTAGTCCCAAGATAATTTATGACTCTCTGATATTCTCCTCTCCTCCTCCATCCTCCTCCTCTTCTAGATGAGCTATCCTCTCCTTCTTTCAAGATAATTTGATTAATGGAAGAGGATCATTACTGAAACAAATAGGCAAAATATAACCATAAAATAATCGAAATAGATTAGCCAAATATTGAAATACCATATTTATTCTAATAGAATGGCCGCCATTCTATTTTTCGATACCCCCAAAAAAGGGCCATTCAATTAGAGGGCAATTCAAATGGAGGTGCCATTCAATTAGAATAAATGCGGTATATTGAAATGCAATTTTGTTCAAAATCATATCGAAAAACTAAGTGTATATTTGAGACACTTTTGACAAGATTTGTTTTTGAAAAATTTATGCAATGGAAATCCTCCCTCTACACATTCAAATGGGCCCTGGGGGAGCGGGCCATGGTAACGCAGAGCTATAACTTTGCTCAAAAATTGTCGAATCCGGGAGCACTGTTATGGGTAAATCAGCTGGTCGTTATGCATTTGACAATAACAGGGCTTCCCGGATTCGACATTCTGAACGATGTTATAGCTATGCGGTTCCTTGGGGTATACCCGGGCACTGGGTCTTTTAAAGAGAGGTCTGACTATTTTTTTACTAAAAATTATTTAAAAAAATAATTTTTCCTTGAAGAGATCACTGGTTTATTGGGCTTATTATGCTCGTACCAACCTTTGCATTTACTATTGCATTTGCGGGAATGTGTCTTTCATTGTTTAAGGTGTTCAGAATTTTTTTAAAATTTAAAAAAAAAAATTTTTAAATTAAAAGGTGCACAGTTTCTACCGTGGTAACGGCACCGGTTTTAGTATTAACAAGGCGCGACAAGAATTTAGCAATGGGGTAATGTCTGATAGAAATGTTCAGAATGTGGGTTTTGAAATAGAAAAGTATTTTAAAAGTCAAGTCCTTCTAAAATGGCTTGTGCATGGACACTGATTTTTGTGTCATCAAGACACATACGGCAAATACAGGGGGGTATCCGAGGGCATCTTGATACTATATATCCATTTCAGTATCCACGCACAGGTCTGGTCCTAATGAGTTGTGAGTCGGAAGTCCGATTTCTGACATTTTTTTCCTTCCGATTTCCGAGTTCCGACTTTTGGGCCAGTTCCGATTTCCGGCTCTTCCTATTTCCGCACCTTTGATTGTTCCGACACACCTCTGGTTCTAATTATCTACGAAATTTTCTCTATTTCCTTTTATACATATTTCCAAGAAAATTTACAACAGAGATGGGCCGGAATTTTGAGTTTTGGGCCCAGTTCCGATTTCCCCTAGTTCCAATTTCCGGCACCTTCGTCATTTCCGACCCACCTCTGATGTACAAGTTTTCCAAAGTTACCATTCCTTAAAACTCGTATTTTTCAAGGAATAAGAATTTTTTCTTGTAAATAACATACACATGGGGTTAGGCAATTTATTTAAGAGTTGTCATTGAATAAAACGGTAATCTTCAAAATAAGCCAGGTTTCCCGTCTTATAGGATAAACACACACTAACAGCTCCTCTTGTCCTAGAATGCGGGCTCTTGATTTAATGACCCGTGCCCTTATGAGTCCAATCAAAGCTTACAATCCTCCATTTTAAAACCGTTTCCTTTAAAATTTTCTTAAAATCAAGCGAAATTTATAGGCCGCAAACCAAGCTGCGCGTGCTGCAGCAGCTCATGCCGTAAATGAAATGGTCAACAGTGGAGGTAGATATTAAAGAAAAGAAATTTATATATTTTTGACATGATTTGGAGGAAAAAATATTTAAGATTTTGATTTAAATTTTTTTTTATTTTATGACAAATTCTCTAGAAAATTAATTAAAATTTTTATTTTTTTTAGAATTTTTATTTTTAAAAATTAAGCAATTGACTCTATTTTGATTTTCATTTTATTTCTATTGACACCTTTATCCTTAAGTCCCGGGAATTTGGGGATATATGTAGGTAAAGTGTTTTGTCTGAGGGCTGTCCGAGTCGGCAAACGAGAATAACAGTTAAACCAAGGTAGAAATTACAATGTATGTGAAGGTGGGGGGATTGGGCTGTAATAGACGAAGTAGATCAAAGGGGGCTTTTATGATCCAATTAGACTTGTTGAGACGGGCTTTTTTAATGACACAATTACACAAAAGGATTCTGCTTACTGTAGTAGGAACAATGGTTGACACAATCAGTTAACCGGAACCAAAAACCGTGGGTCAAACTAGTAATAATTGAAAACCGGTGACCTAAACCGCCCGTAGGACTGATTCCACGCTCAAATTTATTCGCATTTTTAGTAGCCAATTTAGTAGCCATTTTTTAATAGCCGATTGAAAATTTTCTTCACCTCTGTCTAGACTTTGACTCAGCAACACAACAAAAAACATGTTTTTCTAATGTAATTAAATGAGCTGAGTTCAAATATCACTATAAAAGTGCTCAAAACGGTCTACTTTTGCGTTTTTCCCGGATTTACAGATCCCTGAAAATCGAAACCCATAGGGGGGACCAAGCTGATTTTTGGGACCAAAAATTCGAATATGCAAATTGTAGCTCATTCGAAAGAGCTCGTCTAGCTGAGTCGACACAGCGTATTTAATTACATTAGAAAAACATGTTTTATGTTTTTGTTGTGTTGCTGAAAAAAATTTTTTTCAATTGATTGAATATCATGCCTTGGCATTTAACCAGGAAGCCATTGTAAATTTTTGGCCTTGCCCACATGCCAATTTCTCGAGTGCCTGCTTCCCTCTTTAAAAATTGATTTTTTTCTTTAAAAAATTTATTCAATAGACAATGGAATTTTAAAAAATTAAATTGCCTCTTTGTTAGAGAGACTTGTCAGATGCTCAATCACCAATTTAAAAAATTCCCCCCCCCCCCCCCCCCCCACCTTGCCTTTAAAATTTTTTATTATTTACATTCCCTCTATTTTCTCCCATTTTTATTATATTAATTTTTTAATTATTTAATAATTTGTTCACATAAAATAAAAGAAGTTTCAGTAAGGCTTTATTAGATAAGAGTTTTTGTTTTGGATATACGGGACCATCTAGAATATCAAGAGAGTGTGAAGATAAGCATCGTTTAATTTGTTTACAGTAGTTTAACTTCTTGCTAGGGGGTTTTGTTTACCACGATTTTACGGAACTTAGGTCACCAATTTTTTGAAAATTTTGGTCACCAGCAGAATTCTGTTCATCAAGTCAAAAAACGGGATATTGGACACTGGAATTTTGGTCACCAAACAAGAATAACGAATCTTATCTATAACTGATATCAAAGTGATAAAAAATGATTTTTCAACCCCTTACCGGATGTTAAAATTGGTATGATAAGAAAAACCCGTGGTTCATGGTCAAATGACAAGGTCATTTAACCCCTACCGAGAGATCGTGGTTAACCGGTATCATAAGAAGCGAGTTCGTGGTAAGCAAGAAGAAAAATACCAGACGCTCTTATGATACGAAAAAACCTCTCGGTATGGGTTAAATGACCTGGTTAAATAACCAACTTCTTATGATACCGTTTTAACAACGTGCTCTTATGATACGGGCCCAGTTGATCAATTTCAATGTTGATCACCTTCCCGGCTGATCACTCTCACGGTTGATCACTCTGAATCACTTCCAACAAATTGATTAACCGGGAGAGTGATCAACATCGAAATTAATTAATTGGGATTTGAAAAACAATTTTTTATCACTTTGATATCAGTTTTAGATAAGATTCTTTTTTCTGTTTGGTGATCAAAATTCCTATTGGTGACCTAAAAGTCCCAAAGAAACACCCTATTTTCAGTTTAATTTAATTTAAAAAATTAATTCTAATTACCTAATTATCATTTCATAATTTTCTTAAAGGAAAGGTCGCATGCACTTAACTTTAAAAAATTACAAAATTTAATGCATCATCTTTAAAGGATTTTAACACGGGTAATAATGATTTTTTAACTTCCGGAGCGGCTTTTTTAAATTAATTCTTATGAAAATTTAAAAAAATTCATGTGAAAGTGTAAATAATAAAATAAAAATTACCCTTTAAAAACGCAAAGGACAATTCAAAAAATATATACTTTTCACATAAATTCAATAAGACATTTTATATTAGAGGCCTGCGCGGGACGGGATCCCGCGCGGGATTTTGCGGGATCCCGTCCCGCGCCGACATAACTTTTTATAAGACATTTTATATTAGAGGTCACGCGGACGTCCCAAAATCCCGCACTTTTTTCGATTTGTGGGATTCTGCGAGAGTTCGGGATAACCCCCTCCAAAACGCGGTATCCCGAAACACTAACTAAATGGACTGAAAATTTGTATAATGTATAGGTATCCTAAATAATAATTTCTGTAGGCATATTATTCCGACATACATACACTATATTTTTATTTTATCATAAACATAAGAACAGGGGGATATCCAATTAGTTAGGAAAATTTGTATGAATTATTAGAGGTAATTATTTAAATTATTTACTTATTTATTATATCTGTTGCAGTCTACATATTAGTTCAATACAATTATTAGTCCGTTCAAAGTGCTCAATATATAATTATTAAAATATATATTAATAAAAATAATTTTCTTGTTTCAGAATCATATCCGAACATAGACCCTTCTAAATTTTTTTAAATTTAGAAGAAAACATTTTCACAAATTTCTTTTAAAATGAAGGCCTTTTTCAATTATTTGCTATTCGCTTCCATAGCTTTCTTGATCATATGTGAATTAGGTGTTGAGGGAGCACCACCTAGAAGAGTGAGGAATCGAAACAATCGTAGAAATGTGGTATTTTCTTGAATTAATCACAAATTTATTAGACTAAAAATTTAAAAAAATAACTAGTCTAGAGAAAAATTTTTTAAAGAACTATACAATTTTGGCTCTACTCCAGTTTATGCGTCCAATCGACTTTTATGCGTCTAATGAAAGTTTATGCCTCCAATAAAAAGAAAATTGGATTTTTCTTGGTATTGCACAGTTGGGGTATGGGTCTAAAGCATTTTTTCATGTTCGGGACCTACGTCCACTGGGTCTGGGACCATTCCTTACTCGACTCCTCGAAATTTCTGAAAGTTATAATCGTTTTTCTGAAAGTTTAAAAAATTGGCTGTAACTTTAAAAAATTTCTAGGTATAGAGTAAGGAATGGTCCCAGACCCAGTGGACGTAGGTCCCGAACATGAAGAAATGTTGTGGACCCATACCCCAACTGTGCAATACCAAGAAAAATCCAATTTTCTTTTTATTGGACGAATAAACTTTCATTGGACGCATAAAAGTCGATTGGACGCATAAACTGGCGTAGAGCCACAATTTTTTAATAATTAAATTCTAATAATTATTTAGACTCGAAACGTTATACCAATTCGGCAACTTAATAATTTGGCTATACTAACTAGAGTAAGAAATTTTAGTTTTGATAGGTCAATATTTAATTATAAATACATTATCTTCCTATTACTTTCATAAAAATATCAAATCCATAGTCACTCAAATTTTTAAGGAAAAGTCTTTACCAGGACTGGGCAAAACATGTGAATGCATGCTTTGACTTCTGATACCAATATGCACATATTGGTTATTTTGTTTTTTTTTCGTGCATATATGCGCATATCTGGCGATTTTCTTTGCATATTTTGCCTAGCCCTAGTTTTATATAACTAAAATCATTTTTATTATAACAATCTAGACTACGAATCAATCACCTGAAGTAACTTTACAAGCAGCAATAACGTATATTGAAAATCTACAGCGTGAAGCTGATCGGTTGTGTGGACAACTTAGTCACGTAGGCTTGATAAAATTAAATAATTTATTATAATTATGGATCGAATTTTTAGTTTTCCAATTTTTCGAATTTTCCATTGTCTGGTAATAAAAAATACAGCTGTGTTTTAATTATACAAATAATTAAAAGTTTTCATAATTTAGGATTTTTTGAATTGTTAGATTCTTAGAAATCCAGCGATTACCATGAAAAAAAGTTTAGTAATTATTATCCTAATATTGAATAAATTTTCTGACTAATGCTTTCTCTTGTAAGGATGATTTGCCTAGCAGCATTTAAAACGCATAGGCGGGGGTTAAACGATCTAAAAAGCAAAAAGAGAAGGCATTAGTCGAAGCCCCGGTAGCTCAATGTTAGAGCTCCTGTATATGGTGAGCGAAAGCGCCTAGAAACAACTAGCAGGTTCCCCAGTGGCTAAACTTTTGCAAACTCTTTCTCACTTTTATCCTTTTAGATCGTTTAACTACCGCGTAAGCATTTTAAATGCTCTAGGTGAATCATCCTTACATTTCCTACCTATCTTTTGGAAATTAATTTTTAAAAAGTCCTGTTCCTAATGATAATTAATTTTAGCGAATACCACAAGAACAGGAGCCTGCTGATCCTCAACCCCAAAATGCAATCCAGGTATTTTTCTTTATAGATGCCTAGGTTCTATTTAAATTAAATCGCGCTTGAATGTTGATAATCGTAATGCGACTAGCTAGCCGAAATTCAAAGCCCAATTATTCGCCTCGAAATAAGAAAACCGATTTAAAAAAATTTGAAACCTCGATCTGACCAAACTGGTTTTCCCCCAAAATGGGTGGGCGCCTTACTCCTTTTCTTGGCTCATTGCGGTATTTGCGTTTTTAAGATTGTCTCTTGCTACCACCCCTGTCGGTGCTCATCTATGATGTATAATAGTCTAAATAGTTAGAAATCTTATACGAAGATGAATTATAAAGTGGCTAGCTATTAAAGGTAACTAGGTAAGCAAATTTAAATAAACGGTTAATTATACCATATCAAAAAATACGTTAGCTAATACGAACTTTTAAAATTAAAAAAATATAAATAGCTATATAAGAGCCTTTCTTTGTCTAAAATAAATTATTTAAATCATATTTAAAGGATAATCAAGATCCTCCAACAAATTGAGACAATTGAAAAGAGGACCGAGTCATGTATAAAGATGTGTAAAGACGATGTATACAACAAAAACGTGAGGGAGATTCGACTTGATTTTGTCATTATTTATCCCTCCACTTTTCTAACTGAAATCTATATTTTTGTCTAAATTAGACTGATTATTAGAGACGTCCAAAACTTTTGTTCTCGAGTCTTGATTCGAGATAATTGGGATTTTTTGTTTTGGTCTAGTGAAGTCTTGTTTTCTTGTATTGCAAAATTTTCGGTCTTGGACATCTCCACAGAGTATACACGACACCCCATTGTACTGCGAGCCCACTGTACCGCAGAGCTATAACTTTGTTTAAAGTGGTCGATCAGGGATCACTATTTATGTTTCGATTCAGCTCGTCAATACGCATCGAAGCATACCAAGGCGAACCGGATTCGACCATTTCGAACGACGTTATAGCTCTGCGGTAAATTGGGCTAGCGATACAGTCTGCTTCCGATTAAACATTGTTTCAATGAAACATTTCAAGAACTATTTTAAATGTTAAACATTCTATTCAACGATAAATTTATTCATTGAATTTGTTAAATTTCTAAAATTATACATATGTATGAAAAACTAATTTTAATTTTACCCCTTTAACTAACTCAACGAAATTTCCAACAATTTCCAAACATGTCTGTCATGACACGCATTTTCCAAATCAGAAAATGTATACACAATGTCCTAATTGTCAATTTCCTATGTTAAATTCAATTTCTATGTCAATCTCTTATGTCCGAACTTAAACCCACAAGCATAATTCCGATAGAATTTCCAAAGTCTGTTATAGGAAAACACGGACTCTTTGACCGTTGATAATTTTAAAATTTTTTTGTTTATGTCAGATATATCGAAGTAAGTGAATGGGACTACTACAATGAAGAGTTTTCCGATAAAGATATTTTCTCAACCCACCCTTGGCATGGGAAATTATTCAAGGGTGGGGGGGGGGGGAATTATTTTTTCAACCCATCTTTGGCATGGGGAATTATTCAAGGGAGGTAAATTATTCTAGTTTAGAAAGTTGAACGTGTAGTAGGGTATTTGGGAGAGGGGGATTAATGTTCAACTCATCCGTAGCATGGTGAATTATTCGAGAGAGGGGAATTATTCAAGGGAGGGAAATTAATCGAGTAAATACGGAAGTTGCCTATTTTCGGGCAAAAAATCAGATTGATAGGAATTTATTTTGGAATTTTTCTATGTTCAAGAATTAAATGATGTGATTATAGGATTTTAAATCCTCACCTCTTTCAACTAGAAAATTCAATTTATTATTCAAAACTTCCTTCAAGACTCTTCCTTTAGTTAAAAAAATTTTTTTAATTGATTGGATATTGCCTTGGCACTTATTACTTAAAATTTTTGACCTTGCTCTCAAGCCAATTTCTCTAGTGCCTGCTTCCCTCTTAAAAAATTTTTTTTAATAAACAATGGAATTTTAAAAAATTAAATTGCCTCTTTGTTAGAGGGACTTGTCAGATGCTCAATCAACAATTTAAAAATTTCCCTCGCTTGCCTTCGCATTAAAATTTTTTATTATTTATTATATTCCCCTCTATTTCCCATTTTTATTTAATTTCTTTAATAATTTATATAAATAATTAGTAAACAAGGAGGGATTTTCTAGTATTCAAAACTTAAGGAATTTTCAGAAGGCCATGAGGCGGAAATTCTCCATTTATTAGGTCGCGTCATAATTAGTGGCCGTTTTTTTATACAAATTTTTAGGGGTGTTGTTTTACAAATTTTCTTTTTCTTTATTAATAATCATATAGATCTGAATCTCCTCTTCATTATAATACATACCAGGTATAGCTATATACGGGCGATATTCTTAAAGTTATGATTTTTTGAACTTCACTACCTCGTAGTGAAATTCACAATCATTTACACCAAAAATTTTAAATTACCAAAAATGCAACACAAGAAGTAAAAAATTATAATGATCGAGTCAATGGGATCGTTGTCTATGCTGGACAGCAAAAAATAGTGTTCAGGCTTTACAATGGAGGCCGTATGACTCTCAGAAGCAAACATGGTCGAGGGAGACGGCTGTCATTAAGTAAACGGTCCTGCTCGGCCGGCTTAGATGGATCTAAATCCGAGATATAAAGTCTGTAAATCGTGTATATAAAGTCTGTAAAGTTCGACCTTTTTGAAAAATCTAGACTTTTCGGATTAAAAATTCGATTTCGTGCCCTCTTGATAGAGCTTTTGAAGAGCTTTCAAATGATATATTACACTAAATATTATCATCACATATGTATACTCGAGAAAATTTGATTTTCGATGATTTCGAAAATTTTGATATTTTCGATCAGAACTCCCTAAATACCTACCGAAAAATTCTCAAATTCTGGTATCCTTTAGAAAATACACTAACAAATGATTCTAGATAAAAATAAAAAATATTTTCGAAAAACTTAATTTTAAAAACCCAAATTGAAAAACGGCCACTAATTATGAACCGACCTAATAACAAAAATAGTTAGAGAAATGGGGAGAGAAAAATTTTTGCGCGTTTTGATACCGGAGCTGCCAAGGTTATCAAGAGCGAGTCTGAGACAGTTTATATCTACCGTGTAATCCATCTATAGTACTTAATTTGTAACATAAATATGCAGTTCCCCTTGAGTGAACTGATTAAATAATTATTAAAATTCAACAAAATGTTATCAGAATTCAAATTATATTTATTTATGATCCTAAGATAGTTGCCTATTTTCTGGCAAAAAATCAGGTTGATTGAAATAATTTTTAGGAGTTAGAGGTAAATTACACTAGGCAACTTCCGATTAATTTTTCAATACTTAATTAACGCGTAAAATTAAAATTTAAATAGATTCTGATAGAACAGAATCTTATAAATAAGGTGATATAAAAATTCCACTAAATACCTAGTTTATCCCGTTATGGGATAACCCTGACACTAAAAGGCCTAGCGAACCCGGATCAATCGACCCTTCACAACTTGTTTCCTGCTTCAACAAAAATTAAGCAATTTCTGTGAGTGCCTGCCCCAATATACATACACATTATATTTTTTGGATCAGCTTTGATTCTGGCTAGCTATTGTTGTTGCGTTGGAGGTCTTACAAGACGTTCTTTGTCTTTCAGCTCCTCTCTATCCTCCTCGACAATGCTTGCCGAAATTTCGTTTCGCTTCACTCTTTAACGCCATTTTTCCTTTTTTTGTTTCCTCTTGTTTCTTTTTCTTTATTTCGTTTAAGTTCGAAACATAACCAAAATTCCAGACGAAACGAAATAAAAATACGTTCCTAATGACTTGAATTTTTGTAAATATTCTTAATTTTTAGAAAAATTTCTCAGAAATTCGAGAATATACGAAATGAAATAGAAACTTTTTTATTTCGCTTAGCCCTGCTACGAACGATAGTGGATATTGTGGATAACTGTCAAAAATTACTCGTGACTGGCTTTTATATTATAGTGACACAAGTTTTTCTCGAATGGGAATCGGATTTCCAAAAAGAAAAAAACCTAACTTGAAATTTTCTTTTTTAAAAGCAAATTCAAAACTTTATTCAACACTTTCTTCCTTTAAAAAATTTTTTTAATTAATTGAATCATGCCTTGGCATTTAGCATTGCCCACATGCCTTTTTGGCAGTGTCCACATGCCAATTTCTCTTGTGACTGCTTCCCTCTTAAAAAATTTTTTTAATAGACAATGGAATTTTAAAAAATTAAATTGCCTCTTTGTTAGAGAGACTTGTCAGATGCTCAATCAGCATTTAAAAATTTCCCCCTTATTTCCCTCCCATTTAAAATTTTTTATTATTTATATTCCCCTCTATCTTCTCCCAGTTATATTTATTTTTTTAATTTTTAATTTAATTAATTTAATAATTTGTTTAAATAAAATAAAATAAGTTTTAGTAGGGCTTTGTTAGTCTAAGAGTTTTTTAGTTTCGGATATCCGGAACCATCTAGATTATTAACAGAGTGTGGTGATGAGTACCGCGTAATTTATTTACAGTAGTTTCAACCTCTTGCTAGAGGGGTAAATTCAAGAGGGTAAATTCTAGAGGGGTAAATTCAAGGCGAGGAACAATAAAGTTATTTGAGTTTTGAAATTAGGCATTTGATGGGGGTAATTATTTTTTAACCCCTCGCAAGAAAGCGTAATTAACAGAAGGAGGGTAATTATTCAAGGGCGGGTCTTATTAGAGTATATACAGTCATAGTTTTTAAAATAATGCTACTGGAACAATAAAGAGAGTGGATGGTCGAAAATGGCTGACCATTATGTACTTAATAAAAAATTATTTGAGGGGCAAGGGGGAGAATGGCATAAGTAACAAGGAAACACTCTATTTTCAACTTAAATTAATTAAAAAATAAATTTTTATTAATAATAATTTTATTAATAAGCTTAAAGGCATATTTTTAAGGTCGTATGCACTTAAAATTGATGATAAAATTACAAAATCTAATGCATTAACTTTAAAAAATTTTGACACGGGGATAATGATTTTCAATTTCCGAAGCGGCTTTTCCTATTAACTTTAATAAATAAAATTTAAATTCACGTGAAGTTAAAAATAATAAATCTGCCTTTAAAAACACGGGAAAATTCAAAAAAATGTCATATTTTTTTAAATTGCACGATTTTGCCATAATTCTTTCTCTTCTAATTCGTTATTGGATTGGCGGATTTGGATTAAGGTTGTCGGATCCGCATCCGAAAAAAGGCCGGATATCCAGAACTTTCGGTTCGGATACCGGATATCCGAAGATTTCCAACTATCCTACAACCTTAATTGTATATCTGAATCTGTAATGTCCGCAGACTTGAAAATTACGGATTGGATATCATTATCGGATATCCAGGGATTTTAAAGAAATAAATAAAATATACGGTATGTATTTTATTTTAGACTTTAAAAATTTAAAATTGAGAAAAATGATTTCTCTCCGCAATTATTCTTTGATGGTCTTCCCTGTTGCGACTATCATTTGTCAATTTGGTGTAAAGGCACCTCGTCAACCAAGAAATCGCAATCGAGGAGAACAAAATCCTGTGGTAAATAATTTAGATTTAATTGAGAGAAGACTGTGGACCAGCCAACTGAAAAAATCAAAATCAGT